GAGGTTATTGATATTTCTCCCGGCAATCTTGATTCCAGCTTGTGCTTCTTCCAGCCCAGCGTTTCTCATGATGTACTCTGCCTGTAAGTTAAATAAGCAGGGTGACAATACACAGCCTTGATGTACTCCTTTTCCTATTTGGAACCAGTCTGTTGTTCCATGTCCAGGTCTAACTGTTGCTTCCTAACCTGCATACATGTTTCTCAAGAGGCAGGTCAGGTGATCTTGTATTCCTACCTTTTTCAGAATTTTCCACAGTTTATTGTGATCCACACAGTCAAAGGCTTTGGCACAGTCAATAAAGCAGAAATTGATGTTTTTCTGGAACTTTCTTCCTTTTTCGATGATCCAGCAGATGTTGGCAATTTGATCTCTGGTTCCTCTACCTTTTCTAAATATGTTCGGCTAAATTTTAGAAATTGAAGTATCTTTTTTCACAATTTATTTTTCTGGTTTTCTAAACCTCTGAGAGAATTTCACTTGATGAAACACATTTTAAAATGTTTTATTTGATGCTATTATTAAAGGTAAAATAAAACATTTCGAATGGATTGGGATAGCAGGACTTCTTAGAATTAGGTCATTTTCTTAATCCTCCCTCTTGTGTAGAGATTGCAACATGCATGCAATGCTTAAAAAAAAAAAAAAGATCTGTAGTATTCTTCTGCCAGTTGTAATAATGCGTAATACCTAAGGGTAAGATAAGAATAGAGTGGTAGTTTAATTCTTATTGTAACTGCCCTATTTTTATTTTTGCATATGTTTGCATGGTATTTATAAAATCACACACAGACACTCAATTTTTTTAGATGTCCTTCCTAGCTTTGCAGTAGGAGACATGTATATGTATGCATATTGACTCATAGTAAGCAAAAATGGGGTGTTTTTATTCTCTCACATTCATTAAGGATGGTAAGGCCAATAATTCACAAGAGAATGAGTTGAAAAGGTTTCTATATTATATAATCCCAGTGCTCATCATTGAGCAAATGATGCTAAAAATACCACAGGCAATAGTCTTTTTGTGTTGTTTACTAGGATAGAAAATGTCTTCAGCATTGGCGTTACTCACCATGATACCTAATTAAAAAAAAATGACACCAACTTTTTAACATAAGAAAGTGGTTGGACCCATGATATATAATTTTTAAATTCTGTGATAAAAATTCATAAAATGAGATGCTTCAGATCTATTTACCTCATTACTTGGTTCTGTTCATGACCCAAACTATCTAAATAATTGCAACAAATGCATTCATTCTGTTACTGATTGCAAATGGGAAGGTTTCTTTTTCCCCGCTTTTGTCTTCAGGCCTGTCAATATGCATATTTTCTAAAATTTTTTAATGTAATATACTGGCATAGTCAGATCATAATATCCATCACAAGTTATTTATATGATTTCATGATGTTTTTAGAACAATAATTAAAAGTTTTTGTAATTTTTTTCATTTATTTTTATTAGTTGGAGGCTAATTGCTTTACAATATTGTAGTGGTTTTTGCCATACATTGACATGAATCAGCCATGGATTTACATGTGTTCCCCATCCCGGTCCCCCGCTCTGTCCTCCCTCTCTACCCGATCCCTCTGGGTCTTCCCAGTGCACCAGGCCCAAGCACTTGCCTCATGCATCCAGCCTGGGCTGGTGATCTGTTTCACCCTTGATAGTATACTTTTTCAGTGCTGTTGTCTCGAAACATCCCACCCTCGCTGTCTCCCACAGAGTCCAAAAGTCTGTTCTGTACATCTGTGTCTCTTTTTCTATATTGCATATAGGGTTATCATTATCATCTTTCTAAATTGCATATATATGCATTAGTATACTATATTGGTCTTTATCTTTCTGGCTTACTTCACTCTGTATAATGGGCTTCAGTTTCATCCATCTCATTAGAACTGATTCAAATGAATTCTTTTTTTAAATTTTAAATTGGTTATTAACTACCAATGAAAACTGAGAATTTCCTTAATTAGACACCTTTGTGCATTAATAGTTTGCTCTGTTTTTTATTTTTTTTAAATCTCTAACAGATTTTTAAATGACCATCTATCATCTGATTCTTTAAAATTTTGGAATGAATTGATAGCTATATTAATCCATACTTAATTATAAAAATATAATGTCCTACAGGGTTTAGATCAGTGTAATACAAATTTCTCTTTGTGTTTATAGAGCATATCATTGATACATACAATTAACATCCAGAAGCATATTATGATGTATCATGATACTAGATATTAAAACATATTTAATATACCAAATTGAGACTATATCCAACAAATAAAATTGAGAATAGGAATTGAGAATTAATATACAAATTGAAGAGAAATTTGCAAATTACAAATAAATAAAAATTCCTGTTTGAACATTATCAGAACTAAACTGAAATAAAATGGCAAATTTTATGGAATGAAAAGTAATAAACAAGGAGGGGGAAAGCAGCCAGTGATATTGTTTGTTTTTGGATTCTCTATTTTAACTTGACAAAATTTTTTTAAAATGTCCTTCTTATTTCTAAACCCTAGTCAAGCTGTTTCTTTTAGTTGGGTAATTCTTATGTTTCAGAGTCAGACACAACTTATGACTGAAAAACAGCAACAGTTATGTCAGTTTGTAGATGTGAAAACCCATTTTTACATGGACTACTTCATGCAAACAATAAACAAATTCTGTGAGTTGGTATGTCTTGTATTCCAGTTCTCTCACTGAATGTTCAGATGCTAACAAATCATAAATATACAAATTTAAACTTGTGATATAGCTTCTGTTTCAGTATCTCCAACTACATGGAATTCAGTCTCTCCTGAAAATCATTCTTTTTCTGGAATTAATAGGCAGCTTTTCATATTGATCTGAAAGTTGCCTCTTTGTAATTTTATACCAGATCTTGTTCCTCTCATTCAAAGAAAGACAACTTTAATCCCTTTTTCACACAATTGTCCTTCCCATGTTTAAGCATTTGTCATATCAAACTCTCTCTCTCTGAAAAGACATTTCTTCTTTAATCCAAACTTCCTAATCTAGATCTATATTTACATTTTGATGCCCAGAGCTGAACACATGGAATATTGCATAAAACATTCATTTCACATGGAAGAACTGCATTTGAAAGCCACATTGTAACAAAGAGTAAATGAGTATATTTTTGTTATTAGTGACAAATATCCCTTTACTTTTCCTTAACTATTAAATGAAATGTTTTAAATGATTTTTATTACTTTTGACTATCTTTTTTTAAAAATGTATTTTTAATTGAAGGAAAATTGTTTTACAATACTGCATTACTTTTACTTTATTTTTAAACTTTTTTTAAATTTTATTTTAATTGGAGGCTAATTACTTTACAATATTGTAGTGGTTTTTCCATACTGCATTACTTTTCACTACCTTATTATAACATTATCTTTTATAAATTTTCTCAATGATGAACACCTTTATAAATACTTTGGGTCTCATATAATCAAGGTATCTTGCTTAATTTATCTTTCATTTTAATGTAAAAATGCATAATATTAGATTAAAAACAAATCTGTCATTATTTAAGAGCGTCTACTGTGCTAGTATTTTCAGTTAGTGATTTTGGTATTTTTTAAATTTTATTGAAGTATAGTTGATTTACAAGGTTGTTTTATTAATTTCTGTTGTACAGCAAAGTGATTCAATTGTACATATTGTACAATTGTGCGTATTCTCATTCATATTCTTTTCCATTGTGTTTTATTACAGGATATTGAATATAGTTCCCTGTGGTATACAGTAGGATCTTGTTATTTCATTTAATGATTTTAACTTAAAACTGAGCATTTAGTTAACTTACATTTAGTACTTGGCTTTAATAATTTCTTCTTCCTCTTCCTCTTTCTTTTCTCTTCTCTTTGACAGTTCTCCGTGGGGGATACAAAAAACACCCTAGTGCAATCCTGCCTGGTATGGACTTGTTGTCCGGGACGTATATATTTGCGGTTCTGTTAGCATGTGTCGTGTTTCAGTCTGGCGCCCAGGAGAAGAACTACACCATTCGGGAAGAAATGCCAGAAAACGTCCTCATAGGCGATTTGCTGAAAGACCTCAACTTGTCGCTAATTCCAGACAAGTCTTTAACAACTCCTATGCAATTCAAGTTAGTATACAAGACCGGAGATGTGCCACTGATTCGAATTGAAGAGGGCACAGGTGAGATCTTCACTACTGGAGCTCGCATTGATCGTGAGAAATTGTGTGCTGGCATCATAGTGGACACCCGTTGCTTTTATGAAGTGGAGGTTGCCGTTCTGCCGGATGAAATATTTAGATTGGTTAAAATACGTTTTCTGATAGAAGACATAAATGATAATGCACCATTATTTCCTGCAACGGTTATCAATATATCAATTCCAGAGAACTCGGCTATAAACTCTCGATATGCTCTCCCAGCGGCCATTGATCCAGACACAGGAATAAATGGAGTTCAAAACTACCAACTAATTAAGGTGCGTTTTAAAAATACTTTGTTAAAGACAGCTCAATTTTTAAAGGGAAGAAAAGGGGATCTTAGTGTACTTCATACTTTGAGTGATTCATCTCCACAATTATTCGAAGTTTAAAGCATAGCAGAGAAAATTTATCAATGCAATTTTTGCAATGGCATGGGGTTAAGAATCATCTTAAGTATACTCGTTTTCAAGCAATTGTTTGTGTTTCCACTAAAAATCTATTATAGGAGTCAGACAAGGAGCTCAGCATTGCTGCTTAAAAATCAATAACTTACCCAACATCTTACTTTTCATCTGTCTAGTCATGACTCTGCCTCAAACTTGGCCTAAACAAGCAAATCTAAACATTAAGAATGAATCCACAAAACCTATCAGTTTTTCTAAGTGATTATTTTAGACAGAAAGCTTTATCTTGTCATTTGAAAAGATGCCAAATAAATCTACTTTAGGGGTGAATAGAACTTTTTTATTACTAGCATTTCTACACTTATATAGTAATAACAAATATATTTCATGCTGATTTCAAGTCAAGGAAAGATATTTAAGCATCTGAGTCACAAAATGAGATTAAATTTTAGACACGTGTTGTTAATGTTAAATGTTTTCATTTTGTTCCAAATCTTTGAAAACACAGAACATTCATTTGCTATAAACGGTAAGTTTTTTTTTTTGTTTTTTTTTTTTTTTTTTAGCTAAAAAATTCCTTACTCTAAAGAACCTATTTTGGTTTGATTTGGACCTTGTGATGGGAAATGCAGAGGGAAGAATAGATGAAATATTTGATATTTTTTAAAATCGTGAAGAGGGAATGAATTTATCAAGTGAATGGGTGATTCCTTTTAATTACCTATATGGTGTATAGAGTAGTAGAAAACTCAGATTTGGGTATGTGAAATAATGCATACCCAAGTAATACATACATAATCACTTGAATGATTTCGGGAAATGTGTAAAAGAACAAATGTGTAGATATTATATAGACATGGTCAGGTGATTGTCAAAGTTTTATAAGCATTTTCTGACTGTTCACTACAAGATTATGATTATCATGATGACCAATGATTAAAAGAACATATAAATAAGATATTTTTATGTATATCATCTGAAGATTTTTGCTGATGCTGATATGTTGTAGAGATATATTTATTTACAAATACATTCATAAATCTAACTCTAGAGATCCTTTGAGTAATTTCAAGTGAAATGCAAATTTGTGTGTGAATTATAAGAAGTAAAAACTGAAAAAGGATGAATGTTATAAATGAGCATTTTTAGGTAAGGTCCCTACAATGGTATCCCTTTATTTGATGAAATGGAAAAATTGCAGGAGTCAGAAAGATATAGATCACAATTGTGTGCTCGTGACCAACTAGAAAAGCCACCTCCAGCTTAATCTTTATGACCTTTAGTTTCTCCAATCATAATATGAGGATGGTGCTATAAACATCATAGAAGTAAAATTGGGAAGAGTAAGCACTAAGTAGAGGGTAGATATACCTGCATAAAATATTTTTGGAGATGGATTGAAACAATTAACTGTTTATAGAAATGTGAGGCTTATCACTTTAAATAGTAATTGTTTAGCAGAGTGGATACTATCTCTAAAGTTACAATGTCCAGTAAAACTTTCTGCACCAATGAGGGAAGTTCTGTAATCTGTGGTATCAAATATGGTAGCTACTGGCCACAAGTGGCTATTGAGTACTTGAAATGTGGTTAGTGTTACCAAGGAACTGAATTTTTAATTTTACTTAATCTTAATTTTAGTATCCACTTGTGGTAACTGGTTACCGTATTGGAGAGCATAGCTAAAACAAAGAAAAAATAGTTTACTGAAATCAAAATGAGACCTTACCAAATTTAAATCAAGAATTAGTAATCGGATCTCTTCACCCAACCATCCTGACAATAATGTTATTTTGAAATGTAGTGCTTTACTCAAAGAATAATTTTGTCATGTTTCCCCCAGGGCAACTTAATGAACTTCCAAGAAATTTGTTTGTCATGAAAGCTGCTTAACAAATTCAAATAAAACAAATAAACCCACTGGAATGATTTAGGTTTGTTGAAGTCTTTTTTCATTTGAATTTCTTTGAAAGATTGTCAGCAAGTGACATAAAGACAGGTTCACTAGAGGTACTGAGATGAGTCTTAGAAATAGATATGCTCTAAAATTTCATTCTGTTTTAGAATGTATGCTAAGCCAAAAGTGAACTATATGATATACCTAAAGCACTGGGGCATTTGTATGGCCCCATGGGCAAATACTGTCCTGACAGCTTGTTAAAAATAATGAGAATGGAACACAGAACATACCCCTGGGCTTGCAGAAGGCCATGACATGTGTTAACTGATTGCACTCTGACTTACAAAAAAGTCCTGTCATAAAAGTGGCATATATACTGGGGGGATAGGGAGGTTAAATAAAAAGAAAGAAAATAAACGTTACAATCCATCCATAAACTTTATTAAAGTGTTATAATTTGAAAGTAAGCCAACCATAATAATTTATTTTAAAAGATACCCTGTCCTGCAGAATAGGTTGAAAATTGAATTAATGTTAACTTGTTTTATATTTGCTGAATAGATCAGACTAGCAAAATCACAGTTTATCCTAAGGAAGTATGAGATTTGTACTTAAACGTTCAGATAACAAAGGGAGAGAAGTGGGAGATATAGGAGAAAATTAGGTCAGTTTACACATGAAAGGTCTTGTTATTAACAGATGTATGTTAATTAACAAGATAATTAACGGAAAATATAGTCATTTGATAAATGTCAAATTGTGTATAATAAAAAGTAGTCTAGACAAAATTTATAATATTGATCTTCAAAACCATAACATATAGTTTAATTTCATTTACACATTTTTATGATATTATGTGTGCTTTGAAATAAACAGGAAAGTGTTATTTCACATTTTAAATAGTTGGGAATTTCATTTCAGAGTAATAATTTATTTTGTTTATACTGATATGATTAGTAAATTGGAAACCAGAATAAGGTCTTCTGAATCTTAGATTTGACTGACAGAAACACAGACCGATAACCTTGAGAATTGGGATCACAGAAAGTTTAACAGGAGAGAAAAGAAACAAAAGAAGGCAAAAAAAAAAAAAAAGTGAGGAATGAATGAGTAACATGATTAACAAGTGATTCTGCTTAGTACAAAGAAAATTATGATGTAATAAAGCTTATATGACCATGGCAAGGTTAAATTGCAACTTTTTTGAGAGATTAGATTACTCTAAAGAAAAAAAAAGATTCATGTATAAAAGTTTTTGATGTGAAAATTGTCACTTAAAAAAGCATCAAGAAATGAAATCTTCTCTTTTTCCTGTTTCAAGTAAGCCCATGCTATAATGAGAATTTCCCATGATATTCTGTTTTAATTATCCTTAATTTGGACTAGCCATGCTAAAGATCTATAACTATATATCTGTTATACACACATATATATGTGTGTATACATATGCATGAATGCCATTTTAATATATGATAAATATACCATTTTAAAATGTTATTAAATAATATATTTTAAACTATATATATTATACATGGGATATAGTATACACTACATGTAAATTATACATACATATATGCATATTGTATACTATATATATAATTATCTGCCTCTTGAGAAACCTGTATGCAAGTCAGGAAGCAACAGTTAGAACTGGACATGGAACAACAGACTGGTTCCAAATAGTAAAAGTAGTATGTCAAGGCTGTATATTGTCACCCTGCTTATTTAACTTACATGCAGAGTACATCATGAGAAATGCTGGGCTCGAAGAAGCACNAGGATGAGATGGCTGGATGGCATCACTGACTCAATGGCCATGAGTTTGGTTAGACTCCGAGAGTTGGTGATGGACAGGGAGGCCTGGTGTGCTGCGATTCATGGGGTCACAAAGAGTTGGACATGACTGAGTGACTGAACTGAACTGAACTGAACTGAACTGATGTGTCATCTATTATGTATATGCCACTTATTCCTAGTAGTATTTGATAGAGTTGTTGTCCAGAAGTAGGAAATTACAGTGTGTTTTTAACTTCCGCTTTGTTATTCCAATGGCCTGTTACTTATAAAATATCTTTTCAAATTCTAAGTCTTGGCATCAGGGAAGCAGTATATTCACAAATAGAAATATACTTCAAGCACCCAATCTGACTCAGGATATGGATATAAACCACAGGGATTTACTTCTTCCTATGGTTGGAACTCAGGGGAAATTAGTTCATGTAATGATGCTGCATGTGTCTTCATTTTCTCCTTCAGATTTTCATCTTCTCCCACATATATCAATAGTAATATTTCTATACTAGCCCAGTGACAGCTTGTTGATTAGTTCCCTTGAGGCAAGCATAAAATGTTTCAAAGGTTGACTGTGCTGACGGAGCGTGAAGATCAAGTTTTTCTCAGATTGGTGACCACCCTCAAAGCCCTCACACATCTTTGCCCATTTCATAAGGCATCCTCATATTTTCCATCCACCTCCAGAAAAATTTAATCTTGGACAGAGTCTTCAAATAATCAAGGTTTGAGTCCTTGTTTCTGTTTTGTTTAAAATAAGATACATGTGATTTTTACTTTTAAAACTAAATGAGAACGAAACATCTTCCCTCTTGATCAAGAACTTGGATTTATGAAACTAAGGTTATACTTAGATTTGCTTTGAAATCTGAGATTAGGAAATCCACATTGTGAAAATTGTGTCTACCATTAGATTTAGTAATCTTGAATACACTTGCCAAGAATGAGACATCAAATAATATACTGTGGAGGCAAAGAGCAAGCAAACTTTATTATTCTGAAGGAATTAATGTTTCTTTATCATAAAAATGCATAGCTTAACATAGTATGTAGTATAAGGAGGAGTGAGTACAAATTCAACAATGCCATTGCAGGCATAATATGGTATAACAATTTGGAAATTCAGCCTTTCCACTTTAAGATAAACTGATTTTATGTTCTTTGAATTCTGTGATGTGCA